CCAAAGTTGATAAGTAATAAGTAACAGATTTGGGATGCTAGTTTAGGTCTGATTCCAAAGCCCTTTTACACAGGACATAGACATCTTTGGGAGCCATTATTCTGTGTACCACACTAGTGTAGCTAGTATGATAGCCCAAGAGTTGCTAAAGTAATGTGGTAGCTCATCTGCTACTAATGTTGCAGCATCCATATTGGGTGTGGGGAGAAAGTAATCCAAAATACATTGATAAGGCTAAGTAGGATCTTCTGGTGTGTGTGTGTGTGTGTGTGTGTGTGTGTGTGTGTGTGTGTGTGTGTGTGTGTTAGTATTATAAGATTATATACTAGACAAGTGGTAGATTAGAAAAGGGAGTGAGTGATCACTTACCTTTAGGGTAGGTGGGGAGCAATTAGAAAAGTTCTTTTTCAATACCCTAAATTGGCTTCTTATCAGCTTAGGGATAAAGTCCAAACTTCTTAGGACAGCTCTCCAAAGCTCACACTTTTAATTGCTACATTCTATGACCTCTCTAATATGAGAGTGCATTTTGTTTCTAATGTGAATGCTAGCTTCATCTGGAAAGAACAGTCATGCATTCCTATAATTGTAGCTGGCATTGTTTTGACACCACCAATAATACTAAAATGAACTCTGAGTTCATAGGTTTTAAAATAATCACACATTACACTATTAATGCCTTTGATACTCTGGGGTAGTATGCCCTTCTCCTTTTTCATTTATTCTAGGTCCCTTCTTGTGCATCATGGTAAATCTTGGTATAATTTAAAAGGAACTCATATTATTTCTTGGGCCTTTAAATTTGTGTTGTGGCTACTTCCAAAACCTAGTGATTCCATTCTCTATGTACATGAATTTTTTTTCATAGACTAGAAAATAAAATTTGTTGATACCTGTTGTATGCCAGGTGCATGCTGGATAATCCTCACAGCAGCCTTTCATGATAAACATTTTTATTTTACAACTGAGGCAGCTGAGTCTCAAAGAGATTTAAGCAACTTGCCAAAGTTGATAAGTAATAAGTAACAGATTTGGGATGCTAGTTTAGGTCTGATTCCAAAGCCCTTTTTTTCTCTTTCCCCAGTGTGGTCAGTCAAATGGATCAAAATAAATGTGTATCAGAACACATCTGTATTCTGTTGTAACCTTGAAAAAGTTTGGTAGCATGCCAATACCAGGCTCTTCTCAGTCTACTGCCTACAAATCATGCCAGTCTTCTCACTGGATGCAAGTGTTCATGGTCTAAGCCAAGCTCCTTTACTTCTTTGAATGCACTACCTTGCCTCTATGTTAGATGATCCTTCTACGTAGGATGATCTCATTAAAAAAAATTCTTTTCACCTGGTTAACTCAGTTTATTTTTAAGTTCTAGCTTATGTGTTACTTCCCCTGATAGCCTTCTTCTGACTCCCTAGACAAGGTAGTAACTGCTTTGCAAGGTAGTAACCCCTTTGCATAGCTTTGAAATGGCCCCTCTCATATTTTTAGTGGCTTGCTAAAAGTTCTTAAGACAGGAAACATATCTCTCTTGTTCACTTCTTTATCCTAGTGGAAATGCTTGGAACATTGTTAAGGGCCCAGTAAATATTTGTTGAAAAGGGAATGAGGTTGTGGAGCAACAGGAACTCTCATTCATTGCTGGTGGGAATGAAGAATGGCACAGCCACTTTGAAAGATCAGTGGTTACTAGGGGTTAGGGGAGAGGGAGAGTTGAAATGACGGGGCACATAGGATTTTCAGGGCAATGAAACTATTCTGTATGATATTATAATGGTGGATACATGTCATTATAACTTTGTCTATACTCAAGAGTGAACTGTAATATGAAATATGGACTTTGAGTGATAATGATGTATCAATATGGGTTCATCAATTGTAATAAGAAATGTACCACTGTGGTGGGGCATGTTGATACTGGGGGAGACTATGTGTGTGTGTGGGAGTGGAGGTTATATGGAAAATCTTTGTACCTTCTGCTTAATTTTGCCATGAATCTAAAACTGCTCTAAAACATAAAGTCCATTAAACACACACACACACAGTGAGACAAATCTGAAATGTGGAACATTTAATAAGAAAAAAAGAAGGGAATGGGGTAATCACTAGGGCAATGCCAATCAAAACCACAGTACCACTTCAATCCATTAGGATGGCTATAATCAGAAAGACAGCCAACAACTAGTATAGGGAGGATGTGGAGAAATTCATGTATTGCTAATGGGAGTATAAAATAGTGCAGCCACTTTGAAAAACACTTTCACGGTTCTTCAGAATGCTAAACATAGAGTTTCCATATGACCCAGAAATTCCATCCTCAATATATACCCAAGAGAAATGAAAACATACGTCTGCACAAAAACTGAAACATGAATTCTCACAGCAGCATTATTAATAATAGCCAAAATGTAGAAAAAGCCTAAATGTCTCTTAGTTAGCTCAGGCTGCCATAACAAAATACCATAGACTTGAACAATAGACTTTATTTCTCACAGTTCTGGAAGTCCAAGATTAAAGTGCTGACTAATTCCATTCCTGGTGAGAGCCCTCTTCTTGGCTTGCAGAGGGCCACCTTCTCCCTGTGTCCTCATGTGGCCTATCCTTATTTCATGTAGGTGGGGAGAAAGTGAAATCCTGTCTCTTCTTCATATAAGGACCCTAATCCCATCATGGGGGCCCTACTCTCTTGACCTCATCTAAACCTGTTTATTTCTCAAAGGCACCATGCCCAACTGCTGTCACATTGGGGGTTAGGGCTTCAACATGTGAATTTGGAGGGGACACAAATGTGCAGTCCTTAGCAATGTCCATCAACTGGTGAATAGATAAATAAAATGTAGCATGTTCATACAATGACATGTTATTCATCCATAAAAGGAAGGTATTATTGATACATGCTGTAATATGAATGAACCTTGAAAATATGCTAAATGAAAGAAACCAGACAGAAAAGACTGCATATTGTATGATTCCACTTATATGAAAAGTCCAGAACAGACAAATCTTTAGGGACAGAAAATAGATTAATGGTTGTCTAGGGCTGAGGAGGGAGGAGGTTTGAAGAGAAATGGGGGTGACTGCTAATAGGCCTGGGGTTTGTCTTTGGGGTCATGAAAATGTTCTAATAATGATAACGGTTGCACAACTCTGAAAATATTAAAAACAATTGAATTGTGTACTTTAACTCTGTAGTTTGTGAATTACATCAGTAAAGCTAATAAATTTTAGCAAAAATTGGTAGTTAAAGTGGCAAAATATAAAATACTGCATGGAGAAAGGTGATGTTCTTCTATTACATTTCTTTGCATTCTAAATGGAGTATTGAAAGGAAATAAACTAGAGATTTTTTAAAAATCAGACTTTTAATGCGATATAATAAACAGTAACAAGAGGACATTTGGAAAGGTTTGGATAAAAACAGTTGTTGAGTGAGACATGATTTAGTGGCCAGTCTACCTTTCAGGATGAATAGTCATACACCTCATTTTAATTTTTTTACTTTATAGTATATTATGTGACTTTAAATAACTCACAGGGTTTGTTTTTTTTCCCTCCTTCCATTAATTTATTCTACTTTGCACCGTCTAATTTCTCCTTTGGAAAAAAGACAGCAACCATCTACTTCCTCATTTCTTTAGTAAGATGAGTGCAATAACTCTTGACTTCTCTCATCTCATTTTGAGCAGTAAATAACGTGATAATGTCTATAATGATTTTTTTAAAAAGCAAGGGTAACAAAGAGTTTGAAATTTTTCTCAAGTGGCTTCATACAAGTGATTTGGTAACATCCACATTTACCATGTTTGTTGGGCTGACTCCTACATCCTTGAGGCTAACTCCTCTGATGTCATTTTTGCTTTCTCTGACTTCTTTCATAAGTCCCCTCTTCTGTGCTCCTGTAGTACTCTATGCATATCTTTTTTTGTTTTTTATCATATCTCCACATACTGGCATCTTCTATTTATCTGCCTGTCTCCTCCATTAGCTTACAAACTTCATTAAGGCCAATGACTGGATCTTATCTTTGTACCTCAGCATCTGTAGCTGAATTTGGCAAATAGAAGGTATTCAGTAAAGGCTTGTTGAGCTAAACTTAATCATAGTAGAAACTGTGTTATCAGATGTGATAGGGAGTGATATTTAGCCCGTTAACTTTTAAAGAGTCAAAGCTATAATTATATTGAAAAAAATGTATACCCACCTTCAAGTTTTATTTTAATTAACAAATAGTTGTATAATCTTTGACAATGATTTGATGTAGGGTGTGGCCTTTGAATATGGGACCCTAATTATAGTTCTACTTAGTCTTTCTTGCATTGAAAAACAAAAAATTTTAAACCCTAAAATGAAAACAGTTTATTTAAAATGGAGGCACTTGGAAAGAACTTTGAGACATGAATACAGAATCTTTAGATTTTTACTGTTTTTCCCAATCTATAACAGATATCTTATCCACAGCTAATTCAACAGCAATTTTTATTAGCAGCTCAATTCTATTGAGTCTGTTTTAAACATTTTAAACAGTTTTTGTAGAAACAGTAGCTCTCTTTTTGCAGTCATACTTCTGATAAGTAAACACAGTGGCATTAACAAGTTTAGGAACAAACAAAAGTGACTGGCTCTTATTAAGCATCCACCTCAGCTATTTGGATTAGAACTAGCTAATCCAAAGGAAGTACTGAAGAGTAGCCAACCAGCTATGATCATTAAAGCTTACCCTGAGCATCTGTAATACATTTTATGCAAAAAATGGAGAATATTTATTAATCTAATAAATCACTTAGTGGAGGAAATTTACGAGAACTTGTTTATTTCTGTACCAAAATTTCATCAATTATAGATAGAGCTTAAGCAGGGTCTGCTATATCCTGCCACAAGATTTCATAAATTTGTTCTAAAACTCAGTGCTTTGAAATGTCTTACTGTCTTCTCAAGTCACTCTGGCCACCCCCAAAGAATTTCATGCTAATTGTTTTTTTTTTATTTGTTTGTTTTAATTTCAGTGGTAGGAATGGGATCCTGGTGCTTCCACATGACTCTGAAATATGAAATGCAGGTCAGTAATGACAAAATTGACTTAAATGCTTATTTCTCTTAATCCAGAGACACTTCAAGTTTGAGGAAAGAGCGCATTACTAAAGGATGATATTGAGGCAAGAAGAAAAAATGATGGAATTTGTAATCCCTGGAGTTTTTTACTTCAGGCCAAAGGATCCAGGTTGAGTAAGTGAAGAGGCAAGCAAATTGTCCATGGAGAAAACAAGCGAGAGCAGAATGGGTTTTTGACCACCTCTGTGCAGGCATGTATGATTTTAGAGTAGGATTAGAAAGTAGAGTCTCACGGAGACATCTTAAGAAGATAAAATCAGTTCACCAAAGTAATGTATTCTTATTCTTGGCTGCCTACATCCCCTTATGTCTCTCTTGTGGCATCCACTTGAATGGTCTGGTCCCTCTAATAGCAAGGCTTTAGAGCTATGCAAGGATTTTTATTTACTGTCTTTGCTCTAAGGGGGCCATATAGCTAATCTTTTAACCTCTTTGTTCCCCATCACTAGCCCAGAAACTTCTAGAATAGCACTGTCCAGTAGAAATATAATGTGAACTACGTATATAATTAAAAATCTCCAGTAGCCACATCTTAAAAAGCCACATTAAGAAGAAATAGGTGAAATTAATTTTAATAATATATTTTATTTAACACAGTATAACCAAAGTGTTACTTCAACATGTAATCAGTATAAAAATTTATTAATGAAATGTTTCACAGCCTGAAACTGGGTGTATGTTTCACACTTGCAGTGTATCTCAATTAAGATTAGGTTTATTTCAAGTGCTCAATAGCCACATAAGGCTAGTGCCTACTGTGTTGGATAGTGCTATTCTGGAAGGATCTGTTTATACAGTAGTCTATGAATTATTAATTACAGCTATATTAAAATATAAGAATTAATTCTTAGAATTGATTTTAATATTCAACACATATTTATAATAAGGTGTCATGTTTCTTGTGCATGCCATGCTTGACGTGGAGAATACACAAATGAATAAGACACTGGTCTGACTTAATCGAGCATAGAACACATTTCTTACACTCTCTGGCTTGGAAAGAAGACTTATAAACAGTGATATAATATGGAAATTATTTATTTATTTATTTTTTTTTTTTTGTGGTACACGGGCCTCTCACTGTTGTGGCCTCTCCCGTTGCGGAGCACAGGCTCCGGATGCGCAGGGTCAGCAGCCATGGCTTATGGGCCCAGCCGCTCCGCAGCATGTGGAATCGATCTTCCCGGACCAGGGCACGAACCCGTGTTCCCTGCTTCGGCAGACGGACTCTCAACCACTGCGCCACCAGGGAAGCCCTGGAAATTATTTTTAAAGAAGTACAAATACGCTATGGCAACACAGTGGAGCTTAGAAGAATCTATAATCGTTAAAGACATTTAAACAGAATCTGAAAGAATTTAGTTGAAACTTTTTAGGTAGTGAAAGGTGAAATGACATACTGCACTTGCATTATGACATAAACAGAAGCAGGGAGTCATTACAATGGTGATGTATCTGACAACAGTGATAAAGCTAGAACAGTGATAAAGCTAGAATGTGTTGGAAGAAATGACAGGAATGATATTCAAAAATTTTTAACTGTATGGCAAGAATACCAGCAATCAGAATGGTGATACCAGTGAGCAACAGCTAAATAATAACCCTGAAAATAAGGCTTGCATTTTATCATACTAAAAAATAACTAGAATTTGTCCAGCTCTAGCAATCATTGAATGCTTCCATATATACTATCTTAGTTATTACTCATGTTTTATAAATTCTAGTACTAGAGCTGAAAGAGGCTAGTTGATTTGACCAAAATCATTCACAGTTTATAAATGATATACACACACCACATACACACACACACACACACACATGCATGCATGCAGATTTCTTTACGCACACATACACACACACACACACATCCATTCTATTCTCTGACTCTGTCCATGAGAGGACTTAGGAGCCGGGAACCCCAATACCAAAGAGCATATCTATCATCCAGATCGTTCGCCATTAAAAGGAATCTGGCTGGATTCTGAGGGTTGGGGCAGAAAAAAAGGACAATATGAGCCTGAAACATCCTTTTGTGCCAGAAGGAATGGAAATGATTAAAGAATGATGGGAGGGCTTCCCTGGTGGCGCGGTGGTTGAGGGTCCGCCTGCCGATGCAGGGGACATGGGTTCGTGCCCCGGTCTGGGAGGATCCCACATGCCGCGGAGCAGCTGGGCCCGTGAGCCATGGCTGCTGAGCCTGCGCATCCGGAGCCTGTGCTCCGCAATGGGAGAGGCCACAGCTGTGAGAGACCTGCGTACTGCAAAAAAAAAAAAAAAAAAAAAAAAATGATGGGAAGGTGTCAAAAGGACACTGAAGGCAACTTGAAGGGCTTCTCTCAAATTTGAGACAATTTGAGCATCAAAATAAGCAATGATAGTAACATTATAACAGTTATTAAATCCATTGAAGACACAACCCACTGAATAAAAGGGGAAATCATGAATCCAAACTAAAATAATACATAATATAATAAATGAAACAGTAAGTGATTATGAGTAAGTGAATAGATTAAAAGTTTGATGTTGAATTTACATTGTTTCAAAGTACATTATTACAAAATAATTATAAAGGGTAAAAGGGTAACTTTACAGTGGAGGAGACTAGCAGACACCACCTTCATCAAGCAGTCAGAATGAGTATCTTCATAATGGGACAAACCAAAATTGTATGCCATCGGAGGATGCAGTGGCAAAAACATAGCATCACTTCTCTGATATTCTTGCCAAAAATGCATAATCTGAATCTAGTCATACGGAAACATCAGGCAAAATCAAATTGAGTGACATTCTACAAAACAACTGGCATGTAGTCTTCAAAAGTATCCATGGTCATAAAATTAAAAGATTGAGGAACTGTTCAAGATTGAAGGAGACTAAAAAGATATGAGAAGTAAATACACTGTGTAATTCTGGGCTGGATCCTGTGTGTGTGTGGTATGTGTGTGTATGTGTATGTGTATGTGTGTATGCTTATACTTATGACATTATTGTGACACTTAGAAAAACTTAAATGGGGTCTGAGGATTACATGATAGTAATAAATCAGTTAATTTCCTGATTTTGTTGGCAGTATTGTGAATATGTGGGTGAATATCTTCTTTTAAAGATGTAATTCACATATCATAAAATATTCCCTTTTAAAGTATACAAGTTGTTTTAAGTATACTCATAGAATTATGTAACCATCACCACTCTCTAATTCCAGAATATTTTCATCACTCCAAAGAGAAATCCCATTCCCATTAGCAGTCACTCCCCATTAATCTCTCTACCTTGACAACCACTAATCTACTCTTTCTCCATGGATTTGCCTATTCTGGACATTTCATAGCAATGGATCATACGATATGTGGCCTTTTGGTTCAATTAGGCTGAAATATTCCATTGTTTGGATATAGCACATTTCTTTATCCATTTATTTATTACTGGATATTTGGGTTGTTTATGAGTTTTTGGCCTTTATATATAATGCTGCCATCAACATTCATACACAAGTTTTTGTGTAGATGTACGTTTTCAGTTCTCTTAGGTATATACTTAGGAGTGGAATTTCTAAGTCAAAGGGTAACTCTATGTTTAACCTTTTGAGGAGCTGCTAGACTGTTTTTCTAAGTGACTACACCGTTTTACATTCCTG